TTCAAGCCCTCCCAATTTGTAGAGGATACTTCGAAGTATATGTCCTGAAGTTTTCTCAGCTTACTTACATTATTTAACTGAGAAAATAATTAATTACTTAAAAAAATGTTGTTAAATTTTTGAGCAGGGGGTTATTATTATAAAATTTTCTGTGCATTCTCCATTCATCATGAAAACTTAGTTCTTGCCTAGATCGATAGAGAAATGTGTGGAGAATATTTGCGACGAGAAAATATGTAAAAATTTTTGTTCTTTTCTTCCGGTTATTGACTAATTAGTACTAATTAACGTTAATTTAGCCTACTCTACTAGCTTAAAGTCCCATGTGCAAAATAAGGACTCAACGAAAAATTTCAAGCAATACCTCATCTGATAGAGAATTTCACGAGGTACAAGATAGGCCACCTTTAAGTCTGTTTTTATTCCATTAAAAATCTCAACATAGTCTTTGTTTCCAAAAAACAATAATTTTTGTGGCAATTTCCACTGTGTGCTGAATACCATTTAGCAAATAAAGACGGTGACAACGTTCTTTTTTTGGCTTCACAGCTTTCACATCTAAGCGACATAACTTCATAATCTAGCGCGTACCCCGAATCAATGTCAATCACAAACACCACGTCTATAGGAAAGAAGGAGAGACAACTGCACTGACGCTTTTTAGAAACATTCCTTTATAAATACCATAATTCGAGACATGCCCACGTTTTTTCCACGAACCATCGAGAGACACCGCAACTTCCAAAATGCCGTCCGAATCAAGCTTTCTTCCTTCACGTATCTCATTTCTCATCGACTCTAGTTGCTGTTGAGCAAATTCATGCAGGCGAGAGTATATAGCCTGAACTTGCGGAATAAAATTGGATCGATTAGGAATACTCAAACACAAGGCAGACATCAATAAATTTACGGATTCATATCCGATTCCTATGATAATATAAAAACAACAATAAGCAAGCAGGAGTAGAGGAAGCAGAAGTTCACCTGTTAGAGCAGCAGCTGCATAAAAACGCAGATTTGGCTGTTGAACAGATGTGAAGACAGGTTCTACTACCGGAAAATTGGTTAAATGGGTAAATTTTCGACACTTCGTACACCTAAGCCCATTAGTATGAAAAAGACCGTAAGGTTGTTTAACATCACAAATAAGCTCCAGGCGTCCCTCTGGACAGACGTGAGCCTTATTAAATTCTTCTTGCAGATGATTCATTTCAAATAATTGTGTCGACGCACAATTTGCTTTTCGAGATCTGGCTCTAGTAACAATAAATAAAGAAGAAAACTGTCAACCACAAATCGAAAGCTAGTTTCACTACGTACTTCGTTAGAGATGACTCTAGCTTTTGTGCTGCTCGAGAACAATGAACATTTGGAGTACTAGATGAACGAGTTTCAAAAGACTTTGACTGCGAACGAGAGGCTAATCGACTGCGGCCGTCAGAAGCAAAGAAAGTCTTTTTCGTTTTCGCCCGACTCTTGTCCTTTGCTTGTAAAAGAGTCTTCTTGGAATTAACGAAGTACGTAATACATAATGAAATTTTATTTCTGACTCTTCTTCGGAGTTTGAATAAGAAAGATCGTTCGACATCTGAAAATTTGAAATCTAAAAAACTTCAAATTGCCTTTGACTAGAAGAAAAAATCCCAAGTCTTGAAAAAAGGTGTGAAAAAACTTCATGCGCTCATAAAGCCTGATCAATTCTTTAGTGGAGAAAGAAACCAGGCCTACTCAGCAGCCAAAAATGAATTTTAAAACTTCTAAGGTAGCCTGTCTTGTAGCTCGTGAAATTCTCTATCAGATGAGGTACTGCTTGAAATTTTTCGTTGAGTCCTTATTTTGCACATGGGACTTTAAGCTAGTAGAGTAGGCTAAATTAACGTTAATTAGTACTAATTAGTCAATAACAGGAAGGAAAGAACGAAACTTTTTACATATTTTCTCGTCGCAAATATTCTCCACACATTTCTCTATCGATCTAGGCAAGAACCAAGCTTTTGTGATGAATGGAGAATGGACAGGAATTTTTTTTGTAATAACCCCGTGCTCAAAAATTTAACAACATTTTTTTAAGTAATTAATTTTTTTCTCAGCCAAATAACGTCAGTAAGCCGAAAAAACTTCAGGACATATACTTCGAAGTATCCTCTACAAACTGGGAACGCTAGAGAAAAATCTAAATGGGGGGACCCCCCCCTTAATACTATACTACAAACAAAAAGAGCAGAAGCGATAACGCACTCATACTCCGGTAGCGAGTTAGGCGATTTAGTCGCATTCTAGTTACTATCACTTTAGTCGGACGACGTTTCTATATATTCTGAAAGCGCTCGGAGTTCTCTATTACCCTGTATATTTATGTCTTGTCTTGTATTTATTTGCTGAAAAATAAATTTAGTGCAATGACGGCCCCCTCATAGTCAGATTCTCAGAAATTGTAACAGATATGGCTTCTTAGTATTTTCTATTTTTCTCGTGTTTCGAAAAAATGACGAAAAAAAAGGACCCAAAGGTTAATATTTTTTTGTAAAAAGATGCGCCGCGAAATGCTCTGCAAAACCATATCTAAACTAATTTTAGAGCTTCAATCAAGAAAACCACGCAGATTATACAAAAGACGAAAACAAAAGACGAAACTTTGAAAATCTGTTCTTTTTTCCACTTGAACCTTTTTCTTTTGCTAATATTTCCGTAGAAAAAGGGTTGCAAAAGTGAGAAGCCAGTTCTTTTTGTACTTCTGAATGTGCTCTTTCTCGTGATCTGTAAAAAAGTCTTTTAGAACATATGGTGTGAAAAAAACTAAAAAAGTAGCGAAAAAATGCAGCTTTCTAGTATTTGTGAATTGGGGGTACCTTTGGGGGTACTCAAACTATTTTTCAGCAGATAAATGCAAGACAAGACATAAATATATAGGATGATAGAAAATTTCAAGCTCTATCAGAATATATAATTACTTTTTTAAAAAGCAATTTCTATAGTCATGATAAATTTAAAAAGCAAATTGAAGAAATAGTAATAAAATGCAGTCCGTGAGAATCTGACGATGACGGGGTCGTCATTGTACTCAATTTATTTTCCAACAAATAAATGCAAGACAAGACATAAATATACAGGGTGATAGAGAACTCCGAGTGCTTTCAGAATATATAATTATGTTTTTAAAAATGTATTTTTATGGTGATGATATATTAAAAAAATTGACTGCAACTATTTTGTTCCAGGGGGATATATACATTGAAACAACCCTCTAGCAAACCCATAGCATATGATGACATATACATGTACAGGTGAAATATCAGGTTAGATACATGTATACGTCGAGGTATAATATAAAAAAAAATGCTACTTCAAAAGAAAGTATTGATAAAGCTATCTTAAAGAGTAAAAGCTACTACTTATGAACTGTCTTTTTCAACGTTCATAAATGTTTCTCAAAGAAGTTTCTTACAGAAATCCTTCAGAAAAAACTCTCTTACGTATAACCTCTTCAAATTCGTACTGATCGGGGTTGAAATTTCCTACATTAAGAAACTTTCTTTTTACATTATCTGATTGCTGTGAAAAAACCGTTATTTGGACGAAGAAAAAAAATCTTGAATTTTTATCAACAAACTCGCCACATCATTTATCATTCATTTCAAAGGTTGTACTCAGATCGCGAATACAAATCCTTTATTACTATCGCTTTGCCATTTATTTTAATAATAAAAAACATCTCTTGATCGTATTTCAGCTGTAGCTGGATTAATATTCAAGCATATTTTTTTAGGAAAATTTAATATGCTATAAAAAATAAACTTTCCCAATCTCCTGTTTCGATCAAATATTAATATTGGAGTTCATCGTTGTACATATAAAATAGATCTACCGACAAGAGAACAGAACTAAAATCTTTGAAAGTTTTTGTTTTCATTTTGAATCCTTTTTATATCCTTGGCAAAATCAATCAGTGATCAATTCGTATTATGTTCAATTGCAGAAAAACATTGTTACTAATCATTCAAGTTCTACAGGATATATATATTTATATTTTATATGTATAATTTATAGTTGTTGTTGCATTTTTATGAGTAAAGTACAAGAAGAAAAAAAACGAAAACAGTAAATAATAGAGCAACACAAAAATAAAAAATGCTGTTGTTTTTCTTATATAATACGACATATTCTGTGCGTGTATTGCCATATGTACTGTATCGCAAAAAACAAGAGAGAAAAGAAAAAAACTCACACACAAACACACCTTCAAAATAAGACAAAAGAAGAGAAAAATTTTGAACCATGTTGATGTTGTATGTAGCAAAGCGGAAAAGAAGGAAAAAACTGTTCGACAGATGAACCTGAGAGTGAAAGCTCACACACGTAACCAGTTAATAAATTAAAATGCAAAAACGTTGTAGATATAAGAATAAGACTAATACTGTTGAGAGAGAAGAAAAAGGAAGTGAAATGGCAACATATACGCACACCACATTTACGTCTATTATCTATATACACATAGCGCGCGGAAAATAAACAAACAATAAATTTGGTGGGCATACACACCTAAAACATTGGTTCTTTTCCTCTTTGGGATTCTTATTTTTGAATGAACTAATCAAAGCAACTCGACCTCGACACAAAAACACGAGAAAAATGTAATTGAAAGGCATTTTTTGACACAAAAAAGAAAATATGTATAGAAAAACAACATACACATCGTCACGCGCGGAAGAAAAAGGAAAAAAAATGTTATGCTTACTTAAAAATAGAGAGAGATAAATAAAAAGAGAGTGAAATATATTTATTATCATGATATTTCCATTTGATCCGCTTCATCTTCTGAGAAATCGGATAATGGTATTTCTTCGTCTGAAACATGATTTGGATCATTTGAATCTGAGTTTGATTCTTTTTTAGAATAACCATCGACAACGTCAGCTGAGGCAAATCTTTGAACGTATTCTAAATTAGATACAAAACAACGAGAATCAACCATTAAATGTATATGTTTTCAAAGCAGATTCATAAAGAAAAAGGATAAAAATTATCAACAATTGAAATAGCAGCTTCCATGGTGGCTCTTTTTCTTAATGTTAATCACAACGACAATATTCATCCATGGAGAGAAAAGCTTAAAAATCATACCTTTTACTTTCTTTTTATAATCATCTGGTTTATGTAAATAAAGTGCAGCAGCATCTCCATTAAGAGGATCAACTGGATTTGGATAAGCTAGTAATTGTGGCAAAAACGATTCAAATATATTTGCTAAATCTAAATAAGTAAACAAAATAGGTTAAAATAAACAAAGAATCTTGAATCCAGCTTGTCTTTTTTCTTACTTACCATACATTGGTGTCCAGGTTTGATTGATTACGTCAAGGCATACTGTTCCAGACCTCAAGTAAAAGAAAATGGTATCGAAATAATAAAATGGTCCTGTCTTTTTTCAATTGTCAGAAGACAGAAAGCTTCTAAGATCTAAACAATGCTAAAGTCTTGATATCTGTCTCATTCACGAGATCAGTAAAGAACCTGATTTTTAAGCGTGATCGAACGTTAACAGATAACCAAAACATTTAGTATGACGACAATCGACAAAGATATGAAAATGTCAAAAAGAGTCAATTATTCGAAAAAAACAGACAAAAGTGTTTCTTGTTCATTGTGAAATGTGAATAAATACACGATCATCAGCTCCTCGCTTATTTCAAGGAATGGGTAACGACCGTTGATTACTTACATTTCATCAATGTTTGGATGATATATTCGATTCATAAACCCTCCAATGAAGAAGAAACATGAATATATTTACTACAAAGACATAGAAAGTAGCACACAAGACACATACCAATAGATGGGGATTTAAATGGATATTTATCTGGTAAATCAACGCGAATATTCCATACTCCACCTTCATATGGTGCTAGAATGGAGATAAAACCAGACGTTCTTAGATACTTCAGTCATAATACATCAATCATAGTGGTCCTTGACAGCTCATTCGATCTTATCGTACTGCGTTCGGATCGCGGCGCGAGCAAGCATGTGCTAACTACAAGCAAGTTATTTTACTTTATGTGCCTTGAATTATCCATTCCATAGCACGTTTATTTGTGATGTACAGCATGATTAGTGCGCTTTTAGTAAATGTGTATACAGACTAAAGGAATTCGATCAAAGATTTTCGCATCAGGCTGCAGTTCGATAACTGGCAACGATGATGACTTTCGATAGTCATCAAGGAACATATTGACCTACTCGAAATTGGTCAGTCTGGCTAATCAGCACTCTACCCTATAATGGCAACGACAGTCGTAAAGCGAGCTTCTTCCATTTCCTGTAATCTTTTTGACTCATCAAATGAGTTTACCCTCAGCTCAAAAGATATTCTGCTTTATTAGGAGCAGATCACGAATTGAATTTCATAAAAGAACTCATTAGTGCGCTGACCGAAGAAGCACCAAAAAATACGCTAAGATCGTCTAGAAGATAAATATTTAGGAATTTTCTGTTATTTAGATATGTTTAACAAAGCAGCTCTACAGTGAACTTCTCATTGCTGCCTTCAATGTATCTGATACACATGACATCCATGATCTATTATTAAATCTATCATATCGTTTTCATTCCGATATTCGTCACGATTTTCAGTCTAAAGCTTGATTAGGCACACAATGCTTTAGTTCGTCTTAGCTATCATCGCCTTACCATTCGAGACACGCTCCGGTGCGTGATTTACATACGTTATTTATATTAAATGTAATTTTAGAATTTCTGATAAATTTGGTTTCGTGAGCCCAACAGATATTCTACTTTACTAGGATCAGGTCATGGACTGGCAAGTCTATCTTTTCACCTAGCAGTACCTTACACTGATAACGTTAGCCGCAAAGCGAGGTATTCTTCCATCTCCCATTACCTCTTTGATCCGCAAACGATTGTATCCGGTAATGCATCTCTGGCACGGAAAAACTTACTTTCTCGCGGTCCAGGAAACTTCACCATAAATTCATTTAAACCACTCATTAATGTAACTTCATGTTTACTTTCAATTCTAAACAAAAACAAAACAATGTCAACAAAATAAAACAAAATAACCAACAACTGCTCACAGTTTAATAACATCGGTGTCCATTCGACGCTTTCCGGGACTTGGTGAGCACATTTTTAAGTATTTTTTCAAGGTGTGAATAATTAATCAGACAGGAATAACGAACAAGCAAATGAGTTGAATGCAATTATATCTGAAATAAAATTACAAAAAAAACAAAAACAACCTTGAAGGTCATACCGAACAATAACAACATTCTTGAGAGTTTCCGATTGAATTTCTAACTATATACTTCATCAATTTGACTAATATAACGCCCGTGATCATTGGTCAAAATGTGTACCGTTTTCACAACATTACTACACACAAGACACAACATCAGCTGACTGCAGATCATCATGTGAGAATATCTGTTGTTGCATCTCCTTGTTTTGAGATCAAGAAATAGTTCTTTAGTGATTATTTTCTCTATTCTCGATTATTCTCACGAAAAACACATGATCGATCCACCTTTGATGTTCCGGACTATGTAAAATCGTAAAATACAGATAATGTGACAAGTTAATAATGCGGTATGCATTTCTTCACGGTTTCAATCAGCAGTTGATGATAGATGACAGCACACGACATAGAGTAACAAAGTCCAAACTATGGAAATCTCTATAGTGTCTGTTAGGCTCAGAGTAGCAAGATGACGAAGAATCAAGTTGGAAAATGAGTTATTTGTAATACTTTGAGGCAACAAATGCGCCACCGTCAATGTCCGAAAATAGTTTTATTTCTAAAATTCAAATATTACTCATTTTGCACTTGCTCAAACCATTCAGAAATCGTTTTTTCTAACAATAGAAATTAATTTAAGTTATGAAGATCTAACAAATGTTGAAATAAAGTTTAGAACGCATTTTTGCTTTAATGTTGATCTAAATCGACAATTGGGCAGATTTTGCTTAATGATGCTACAGATTTGTTACAGAAAATGTATGAACAATTTTTTGGAGCTAATTATTATTCTCATTCATGAGGAATGATGTAATTAGGCTAATTAGGCTCTTCATCTTTTTCTTTAATGAACTGTGATTGAAAAAAAAATGTTTCATCCGTACCCATCAAATCATGCTCTGTATGCATTGTTAATTAAATATAAAAAATAAATGAGCAAGGAAACTGTTTAGAATTTCTTTAAGATGAAAATGTCAAATTCTAAATAAAATTGTTATATATTTGATAGATGGAAGGCATTCTATTCCATTTCTGCGATTGTCATTTTGGCATCTGTGAGTACTAGATACCATGATAAATTCTCGTGCTAAAATGGAGAGTATTGGCCCACAGTGAACGTTGAAAATTAGGCTTTAGAAGATGAAGACTAACAACTCTACAACAGAAAGAATTTCTCATAAAAAACAGAATTTGATATTGAATAAACAGAGAAAGCTCTTTTACTTTATTGAGTTATGCTCATGAAGCGTGAACGCCAAGGAAAAAAGCTTGTTATTTTTATTGGATTTTCAATATGAAGTCCGGATATTTCAAGTGATCTGGGTCAACAGATTTCTCCTGTGTAATTAAATGCAAAAGTGTTTTCAATTCTACTGTAATACTTATGTCAGGGTTGTATATGTGCCTAGTCTTCTAGTCTTAATATTACGTGTATCATTCTTCATTTCAGATAGTTTTTAAAAAACATATATTTTTGTTGTCATGGGCGAAGATTATTCTCCTGATTAAAATGAAGGTAATGATTAATTTATTTAGTAGATGATTTTATTGCTAACTTTTAATATTTTCTGTTGTTTTAGTTAATTTTAGCTTGAATATCTATGGTGAAGCGATCTTCTATAAACTCGAAATATGCATATTACAAACGAGACGAATGGTGGTGAAACTAACGGAGACGAAATTCGATTTTCTGATTTATATGATTTGTATGAAATTATTGGAAAGTAAGTTGAGCAATTCTTTAATGTGATTATTAAAAGAATCGCGAATTTTCTGCTGTTTTCAGAGGCCCATTTAGTGTTGTTCGACGATGTGTAGCTAAGCAAACAGATAAACAGTACGCAGTTAAAATTATTGATGTTGAACACTTCATATCGACTCCCGGTTTTTCAGCTGATGGTAAAAATCTTTCATTATTACTGACTGTTTTTTAGCTCTTTTTGAAGATTAATTATATGATTATACTGTTTTCTTCATTACAGATTTGCGGCGTGAAGCAAGCATTTGTACAAGCCTTAAGCATCCTCATATTGTTGAATTGTACGAAACCTTTGAGTCGGAAGGGTGTTTATTTATGGTTTTTGAATAGTGAGTGAAGTTTAATTTTTTCATATCTCTTTCACTATATATCTTATTTTTATTATAGCATGGATGGAGCTGATCTATGTTTTGAAATAGAGAAGCGTGCAATTGCTGGGTTTGTTTATAGTGAAGCTGTAGCTAGGTAGGTGCAAGAAATAATTATCGATATTTTATTACATACTCTATTTTCTGTCTTTTAGTCATTATATGCGACAAGTATTTGAAGCTGTTCGATATATTCATGATCATTCTATAATTCATCGTGATTTAAAGCCTCATTGTGTTCTATTATCGTCAAAAGAAAATGCAGCACCAGTTAAGTTAGGTGGATTTGGAGTAGCAATTCAATTACCGGAATGTGGATACATCAGCGCAGGTTAGTTCATTCAATGAGACATCTGTTTTTTTCTTTTTAAATCTCATAATTTTGAGAACATATTATGCTCTTTCGTTGAAATGTTGAAACAACCTCTTTTCTTATTATTCTACTGTTTGAACACAATCTCGCGTCCGATCGAAACTTTTTGGCAAAACAGGATTATGGTAAATTCGATTTGGTCTTAATTTTCTTTTAAGCTTCTTTTCGGGCCAAGAACCACGTGGAATGCATGAACCATTTACCTTTTACTTCATCATTTTCCATCGAAACAGGAACCTTTCATATCGGTCATTTGAATCAGATGTGAAATGACGAAGTCAAAAATATGCTATGAGACGATCTCTGTCAATAGAATACACGAGCTTTATCATCTGCTGAGCACAATGAACAGTCATTTAGACTCAAATACAGAAAGATGCACAACTACACACATACTCGTGATTATTTTTAAAATAGAGTTTACGAAGTTAATTAGTTTTCAGTTTTGTTTATGTGTGACGGATCATGCAAATAAACTCTCATCTAACGAACACTGATCTAATTATTAAAAAAACCTCATCGAGAGTTGCGACAAGATAATACAGTGGAGGTCTTTCCATCAAAAAGAAAACATTCATCGTTCACGTTGCTTGCTTTAACAGAACAAAAGGTGACAATTAGTAATCACAATTAGTAGCAAAGTGTGAACGCATCTTTTCCCTTTGGGTTTTTTCTAACAAAACAAATTAATCTACTGCTTGTGTTAAATACTGGTCAATAGTCTTCCTTTTTAGGTCGTATTGGAACGCCAGCTTTTATGGCGCCTGAAGTCGTTAATCGTGAATCTAGTTTTGGTAAACCTGTCGATATGTGGTCGTGCGGTGTGATGTTATACGTATTATTAACTGGAAATTTACCATTTGCTGGAACAAGAAATAGAGTATTTGAAATGATAGCAAAAGGAAAGGCCAGTGTAAGTTTTCGCATCCAAAATTTTTCTTATATCCTCCCCATATTGCATACATATTGAGGAATTATATAAACTCAACCATTGATTTTCGATTATTTTACTCAACCTTTAAATGAAAATACATTTGATTCTTTAGATTACTGCGGATATTTGAGTATGCGCCTAATGTAGTTCTAATGATCATGTAACTAGCAAGATAAGAGACGAGCTGATTTTGAAAAATTTACGTTAGAAATCTATACTCACGTTTCTTTCGTATTCATACCTTCAAAGCCCATCAAAAAATATTTCCTGCTCTGAAATAACTACAAACGTCTAATATATACGTTCAGAAATAATATAAATTATTTCTCCAGACTGACTGGTGAACTACTTCTTTTTATCGGTTGATTAGATGGAAGGTCATCAATGGGAGCAAATAAGTGATTCAGCGAAAGATTTAGTTACACGTTTATTATGCATTAGTCCAAATGATAGAATAACAATCAAAGATGCACTCGCTCATCCATGGATTCGCGTAAGTGAAACTAACATTGTCTTCATCTATCTCATTATATCCTTTCTCGTTTATTTTTCATTTAGGAACGTGAAAAATTTGCAGCCAGAAAACATTTGGCTGATACGGTTGATGAATTGAGAAAATTTAATGCAAGAAGAAAATTAAAGGTAAAGTTTATTGATTTTAGTCAAAGAATCTAAGTCGTATGTTTTTTGTTTGTTGTAAATTTATACTGAGTAGTGAAAAATTAGAGCATTATATATATATATAGTTACTATTTATACTTTTTAGGGAGCTGTTCTCGCTGCTGTTTCCAGTCCTCTTTGGTCTCAAATAAGTTCAACCACAAACGGTTCACCATCCCCCGAATACGATGATATGGCATCAGGAGGTGAGATCAGCAAAGAGAACGAACAAAAGATCAATCTTTAAAACTAAATATAAAATGAGTGAAGTGGAATAAAAAGAATGAATGAACCGAATAGGAAATAAACAAACCAGTGAATGATTAAATAAAGATGTTACTATGTCAGATAAATAAATCCCTGATGAATAAAATTTATAGTTTTTTCTTAACTTTTATATAGTCTTTTTTAAGGCATCGTTAAAAATCCCAAAGAAAGGTTTTACAACTTGGGTGTAAAGTTTATTTCTACTCTTTTGATGATCTAATTGAGTGAAAAATTGTGAAGGATACTTTTTCGTTGGCAAATACTTGAAATTAACTAGCAAACTTTATAAATGATAAATGCCTTATTTTTAATGAGTTTTATAAACGACTACTGAACAAAGAGATTCAAGTCGGGCTTTATTCATTCCTACTAATTATCGAGAATAGCAAACATTTGTAACTAAAAAGAAAATGGCTTTTAAATAAACATCCGACCGCATTTTTTTGTTTCATAAATTATTTAGCGGACAAATAATTTCTTAAACAAAGGGAAAATAATTACAACGCTTCGCGATAAAAGAAAGAAAAGGAAACGAGAAAACACATACACATACTTACCTAGATAGATGGATAAAGAGAGAGAGATTAGTAATTAAATTTATAATAAATCTTTTTCCCAAGATGATAACACGAAAAAGTAATTTTTACTAGAAAGTACAACAAAAATAAAACTACGAGAAATCGATGTAAGAAAGCTAAGTGTATTTCGAGAAATTTCTCTAAATATTCAAAATTCCAATCTCTTGAAGTGTGCATTTAAAACCATTCTTTGAAAGATTTTCTTTTCCCTAGAACTTTTTTGTCATATTTTTTTGATAAACCTGTAAATTAACCATTTGAGATGTCGTCTTCAGAAAAAAAGGAATGTGTCAAGAACAGTACATAATATACGAGCCGCAAGGACAGAATTCAAAGTAGTTGCACTTTTTGTTTTCTTCTGATTGCAATGAATTCTTAAATGAGGATAGTAAAATATTCTAGGTGTAAAAATAGGACTCTGTACTACATCATCACATTGATATAATGAATTAGATCACCGAAAAAAGTTAAATTTTTGGTTCTTTTGATTGACGTACTTACTCGTACTGACGTTTAAAGAAGTTTTGATAGGTCCATTAAATAATAAGAAGAAAAGAATGGATGAAATTTTTTTTTTTTTCGTTATTTGATTAAAATACATGCAAACTAAAAAAAAACAATTAACTATTGTACCATAAAATTGCAAACAAAAGGTGATTTTTAGAGCATAAATGCATTTTAGAGTGTCTTGTAATAGTGAAAAAGAAATAGCTACGATGACTAAGTACAATAAAAATCAATTATAGATGTACAAATAGAATACATAAATATGGAAGTTATCAAAAATTTTATTGTTAAATGGAACTTTTTTTACGTAATTTAATGAATTTAACGACTACATCATGTGTAAGCACAAATCCAAGCTACTTGTCATCGAAAGAAAGATGCAGAAATTATAAATTGCTATTTATTTATTATAGATAAATATTACCTAATTTGTCATAACAAAGCAACGTGTTGTATAAAATAAATTTTGTTTTTTAATCTATTAATAAATTATTTTTGATTAATTACTAGCATAGAAACATATGTTGAATCAGATTAATACTCTTCAGAGATAGTGTATAGTTTATTGTTTCAGTCATAGTCGATTATCTCTTTCGTCTAAAAACCGTTGGCCATAAAAATATTTATATACACGCTTATTTGTCCCGCAGACAACGGTCAAAAGAGAGAACTCATTTTTTGGCCGACTTGTCTATATGAGTATGTAGGATAACATCTGCTCTTATTTAATGAACACATCATTCTTCATGATTCGAATTGCGCGCGCTTCTTTAGAATAAAAAAATAAAAATAAAAAAAAAATAAAGGAGAAAAAAAAAATGGGAAACGAGAACAGAAGAGCAATAGAGAATAATGTTTTCTTCGTGTTTAATTAATCTATTTCACACTCGTTCGTGGTTATATCTGTCTAGTAGAGAAGAAGAAATTTAATCTGTTGATACCATCCATACTCTTCATATTCTTCTTTATGGCATTCACAATACAAATGTAAAATGATTATCTGTTTGTTTCGTCGCCCTGAAGCTATATTTTTTAGGGAAAAAATGATTTTTCTTCTTATACATGTGCATATGACTATATACATTAAAAAATGATCTTTTGTCTATCAGATGAGAAAAAGTCGAACGAAAGAGCGAGAGAGAGCGCGAGAGAGAGAAAGAGAGTCAAGTAGTAGTAGTTCAATGAAAGGATGATTAGATGAGTGAGAGAAGAGGTGACTTTATATTTGATGAAAACTGATACACGCACATACATCCAATGTCACATTGATTGTTATTACTAATTGAAAAATATGCTTATACAATGATGGAATACGTATTGTTTTCAACAACAAATACAATGTCATTGATAAAAAAAGCAAATAATCAGCAAAAGAAAAAGAATAATAAATATTTTGAGAAAATAAATAACAATATTAATCATAATCATAATCATAATAATAATAATAATAATAATAATAATAATTATCAACAGCAAGAAAATGAAACGATTGCAGGTAAATAATTCACAGTGTTAATAAAAAATTCATCATCAAATATGAACATGTTTTTAATTAACCCTAAGGTAAAACAATACATAATTTGATTAATTTAAATTAATTTAATTCATTTCTATTTTTTTTAAAACTTAAATTAATTATAATTAAGTTTTAACTACTTTTTTCTCTACAGAATGTCAAACACTTTTATATATATTTGACTTAATTTACAAAAAGGTTAAAAGTTACAAAAAAATAAATTATCATCTTCAGACTTTTTATACCAAAATATAAAAATAATATTTTTTGTTTATTTTCTGTTTAGCTGTTTCTCAAATCTTGGATAGTCTTGAAGATACTCAATGGTTAACAATGGGTGATCGTGTTGAATTAGAATTTTTACAAAAATTATTTGAAGATGAACAATTACAACGTCTATTAGAAGTAAATGTTTTTAAATTTAAAATAAAATTTTCAATTAATCATCATTTATTTTTATTTTTAATATTTTCAGTTGTATGATCGTATTAATTCGGATGATATTCGTCCCTATACTTGTCCTGAACCAAATGCTGTTTATGTTTTCAATGAAATTTTACAATTATTAGACGAATATACAACTAAACATGAATATAAAGAATTGTTAAACATATTATTAAAACCACATATACAGGTAAGTTTGATCTATCAAAATATGTTAGACTTTTTAGTGATTGATACAAAATTAAATGAGCTCAAAAATTAGTTAATGGTTGTTGTTTTGTCAGTAGGAAAGTATATTTAATAAGAAAAAACGAATTTAAGAACAAAAAGAAGTGCTAGATTACAATAGTTTTTCACTAATTATTCAATCTTTTGTTAAAGCTAATTTAATTTTCTTTTTTTCTTCTGTTTTTGATGACTTTTTCCTCTTCTTATTCCAAGTGGCTGTGGAACTTTAGCGGATTTGAGACGAGTTGTATCATTACGTTGATCATGATTATGAGATTCAGATTTAAATACTGTAAATTTATTATTGAATTCTTTTGATTTTAATTGAAAATGACAAAGAGAATATTTTCCATATTCCGTACAACGATATGTAATAGTTTTCCCGGCTTGAAAATGCTCGGTACCATAAGTAGAAACTTTATTTTCTTTTGGAAAGGATTCGATATCACTTTCAGAAGTAAAAGAAAAACATTTGTGGCCAGATTCGGCGAGACATTATGAAAGAACAGATTTAATCCAAAGAAAGTTAAATTATCTTTAACAACAGACTAAATATCAGTGAAAACTATCGTAATCTCGCACTATTTTTGTTCCTGAACTATTTTTTGCTTATTAAATATATTTTGCTACTGACAAATCATTAACTAGTCTTCATAAACTAATTACCGAGTTCATTTGTACCTTTTCAGTGTATAAATCAATTTCCAAGCTCAAATATCTTATTCATATCAGCAAAATATAATTTATTGCAACCGAGCTTATTTCTCTCATTTTAAAGCCAATTAAACACATCGAGTTCAAATATCTCTTTTTTTCCGAATCCATGTACTATTTTATACGAAAATAATTTGAATAAAATTTCTAAAAAGAAACAAACAGAATAGAGAGAAAAGATCTGTCATGTCTAAAATCTTACTCTCCTATGAATAAACAAACAACGCCTTTGGATATGGTACAATTCAGTTCTCGTACTATTAGCTTCCTACTGTGTATATCACATACTTTTTCAACAAAATCGTTTTTGTTCCTTTCACTTACGAATGATCTTTTAGAACTTTTTCAACTTTTCCATTGGTCGTATTCCAAATAATTAAACTACCATCTTGAGATCCGGCACAAACATATGTACAATCCGGAGATAAAACGGCTCTAATCGAATCACTACCAACTTTAAAGTCATCATGACTAAAAAATAAAGAACAGAAAATTAAGATAATAATGCAGTAGACTTTTGTAACAAAAAATTTACCTAAATGTTTGCAAGACACGATTTTCTTTTAATTCAATTAATTTTAACGTGTCATCACGAGAACAAGCCAAAAGAAGTTGTTTATCTTAAATTAAAATTGTATATACATTTATATCTGTCGAAGAGATAGACGTCTTCCAAATGTTATTATATTTTTACACACAACACTCTCGAATGGAGCAAAATTTGAACAGTTCATTATTTTTTTTATCTTACCTCTGTTAATATATAATGATGTAACTGATGCTTGTAGTAGTAATTCAGATCGAACACTGTCATTTCTTGAATCCCAAAAACGTATTTTTTTATCAAAGTGTCCACTAATCAATGTACCAGCTGAATCTAATGCAACTAGATCGTGACATTTTGAACCGGCAAATAATGTACGAATACCTTAAATAAAAATAGAAAAATATATACAATACAATATTTTAACATAAATTTCAATTCTTACATTGTCGATTTTGTAGATCCCATAGTTTAATCGTTCGATCTTGACTACCAGAGGCAATTTTTGAACTAGTCAAAAATTTTGCACAAAATACTTTTGCACCATGACCAGTTAATGTATGTCGTAATCGTTGATCTTGTACACCCCATACACGACAAGCAAAATCTTCTGAACAACCTAATACTAAATTAGCCTAAAAGAAAATATTTAAAAATTTTGATATTTCAATATATTTGAATATGTTTGAACTATAAACCGTACTCCATCTGTATCAAAATCAATTGCAGTTATAGTTGCATTACTTCCAGTTAATACACACATTTGTTGCACTTGTCCTAAATGAAAAATAAATCTATAAAAAAAGAATATCTTCTAAATAAATTAATAAACATATACCATTATTTGGTGATTCCCATAAATGAATTTTTCTATCTGAACCACCTGTTGCTAAAAGTGTACCACTTGGATGAAATTGAATAGCATAAATTTCACCTTCTCCACATTCCTAGATAAAAAAAAAGAAGAAGAAGAGATCTAAACATTGTTCTTTTAGAAAATAAGAAATAAAATAAAACAACATACCCATTTGCTAATAACCTTTGTTGGTATACTGACGACTAAACATTCTGCTGGTGCACGTCGAGGTTTGTCAATTAACGGACTATTTGAGTGAATTGATGAACTACTAAAAGTGTAAAAATTATTGTTAAAAATATATTATTTCATAAAATTTATAATTAGTTAATGTTGAATTTTATCGGGTAATAGTAAAACATGAAGACACCCACAGACACCCACAAACAGCCACAGACAGCTGCACAGACAGCACACATACAACCACAGACATCCATACACAGACATCCATGGATGTCTGTGTAGCTGTCTGTGGCTGTCTGTGGTTGTATGTGTGCTGTCTGTGCAGCTGTCTGTGACAAAAAAATTGATATGAACAATTCTTATTGTAAATAAATTTTTATTTTACTTGATA